AAGGGTAGTAGTAGACAGAATGGAACACATCCACAACAAGCTTCTGCATCGGGATTTTCAACAGCGAAAGAAAGCCGGCTATCAAGTGGATGGTTCCCACAATCTTTCCGAAGTGAGAGGACGAAAAGGTGTCCGACACAAAACAGTAGCTCTGTGAGCTGTAAAACGAGACGTAGCAAATATAAAGGATTGCTGAAAGGTATGCCGTAAAGAGCGCTGGAATCATGCTGAACCCGTACGCCAGGGTGATGCATGCATTCAGGAAGAACAGAATCGGCATAATGCCAACCATGTCTACGACTTTGCCTATTACCTGAAATAGAAAAAAGACATACACAAAAAGAGCTCTCGAGTTGCAGGAGCTCCAGCAACAAGTTTACTATGCTCTATCCTACAGTCTTCAACTTGAATGAACTGTTCATCAAGGGAGTGCACACTATACGTGTATCAACGTGAGAAAGTTTATTCGCTCTGCACTTACAATGCAAGGGAAGAGGGAAAAAGGCAAGGCAGCTCCCNCAACGTGAGAAAGTTTATTCGCTCTGCACTTACAATGCAAGGGAAGAGGGAAAAAGGCAAGGCAGCTCCCATGAAGTCGTTAACCTCCTTTCCGAGTAGATTTTCGGCTGCCGTGGTGAAGAACGCATACATGATGGCTTTAAGGATGGAGTAGACCACGATACAAATAGCATACGGCGACGTGAATTGTTTAATGAATGAGGCAGGCTTCTCTTCTTTTACTGCAGCTAGCTGGTCCAGTGTCTCTGCGTTCCCTGCACCTCCCGTTGCAACGCTCATCCTCGTTGCTTGGTAGATGGCGGGCACCTCTTCCGTGTCGTCGGCGATGGATTGTCCAGCTTTATTTTGTTTTTCATCTTGAGTTTTTTTATCCTCGTCGACCCCGTCTTCTTCATCCCTGATCTTCTTTCCGTGTCCTGCGGCAGCCCCCTGCCGAGGAACATCAAGGAAATTTTTTCCCTTGCGAGACGGCTCGGAAGCATTGCCCCCCCCGTGTGTCTCGTGTCCATACAGCGGCCACTGGCCTTCATGAAAACTGCTAAAACTGTCACGCCATGCGTGGGCTTCTATGGAAGCGAACGAGTCGTTGACCCTTTGGATAGGGTGGTGGTACTCCCCCCCTTGTTCCATCTCCGTAAATTCGTTCCAGGGCTTGAAGTGCTTGTATGGGATCAAGAATAAGGACACGATGAAGCACAAACCTGGAAANATTCGTTCCAGGGCTTGAAGTGCTTGTATGGGATCAAGAATAAGGACACGATGAAGCACAAACCTGGAAAGCGCCATACACAAGCACACAAAAAATATCCTATACATGTGTCCAGTACATACCAATAGCATACAGCGGTGCCAAAGTAGCATTTAGCCCTTGTGGAGCATACAGGCAAAGAAGAAACCACCATGCACGCAAAAAGGCGTAGAGGCAAAATCAGCATATTTCAGAAAAACACCACGCAAAAAAAAAGAAGGGAACTGAAGGACGGGGCAAGAACAGATATTGAACGCACCCGGTCCCACGAGGGCGTAACCTAGGCAAACTTCCCTCAGACCTATTCCTGGATTCGCCATCTCTATCTTGTCCAAGATTGTCGGCACAGCAAAACTGGCGCTCTTGGATGCTCCGAGTATGGCCACGATAAGCCTGTAAGGCAACATTCAAAAGTAAAGAAAGTGCACAACATAACATAAGCCGAAAAGCTAGTCAGGTGGGACGAAATGTACAACTACTCTGCAGTTTAATCGAGCGTACCCTTCATGTCCAGGGAAAAGGTTAGCTGAAGAGAGGAGGGGTAAATACCCTATGTCTGATCCTATCCCCATACATATGAATGCTGCAANAGGTTAGCTGAAGAGAGGAGGGGTAAATACCCTATGTCTGATCCTATCCCCATACATATGAATGCTGCAATGTAAGTCTGCGATGACTTGGACGCGAAGGTAAGCAATAGCCAGGCAAGTGCGTTCATTAGTTGGCCAAATGCAGCTGTTACGCGCGGCCCCAGGTAATCAAGCAAGAGGCCAGCTGCGAGAGAGAATGAGAATGCGAAAGCCAAACATGTTACAAATATATTCCCAACTGCTGAGTTTTGTTCTTCACATATATACCGCTTCCCCAACAGTCTCATATCTGGGTTACCGTCAGCCAAGTATTGGTCACACAGCCAAGCATACGCGTCAGCCCTGAAGAGCAAATTTGAAAGGTTTGGCCAGGCGAAGTATACACGAGCAGTCAAAAAGGCGTAAATAACGTACGTCACCAACACGAAATAACGCCCAACTCCACACGGCAGCTTCTGGTTCTTTGCCGCCAGGACGGCGGGTGTGTTCTCCACATGATCTATCGCATTATTTATGAATCTTCGCACAAATGAGCAAAATCCCTTCTTCTTGTCTCCATCAGAAGAGGGGGAAACGTTGTTGGAGCCACCGGCTGGCCGGCTCGGCAACTTGGCCGCGGGAGCTGGCATTTGCTCGATGTGGGAAGGCGACAGTGCTTCCGCCGAGTGAAAGTTGTGAAGGGAAGTGCCAAAGATCTCGAAACATAACACAAGATTCAGAAAGTAGGTAAAATCGACACGGAAAACGAAGCAGGGCCGAAATTCTGTGCGCCAAGCGAACGGATGGATGCAATCCCCCCGGTCTTGCGTGCAGCCCAACAGTTCCGTTTGAAGGTCTGTTCCTTCTTAAAAGATGAAACTTTATCACAACTGGGACTTCTTCTACGGGTTTAAAGCGAAATGTCAGTAGTGTATANAGGCCAATTCAAGCAACTTGCTGTTGGCTCCGTCGCAAATTAGAAAACTCCAGGTTTCATGAGAAAGTATTCAACTTTTAAATTGTACTTTTGTGAATGGGTCACCGCTGTTAGGCAGCTGAGAGACTGCAAGCCTGCAAGCCTTCGGGTGGGGCTTGCAAGCGTGAAATCGAACAGCGAGCCGTTGCGAGCTGTAACCGCAGGATGCCGGAAAAAGGCGAGAAACACGGCCAATTAAGAGGCAAACAGTATATTATTATACAACTTGTATGAAATGAAACTAAGTAACACCGTCCCTTCTACTGTTAATGCGCCTGCCCCCCTCTTCCCCACAGCAAGGACTTCGGGTCCGCGGCCAGGCAGCTGAAAAGCAACTGAGGTGCAAAGGTGTACATCCCATGCGTTCTCCTCGTTCTTCGCGTAAATTAACTGTAGAAACTAACTATAGGGTTTATTGCACTCAACCAGACATGCCTAGAAACACGCCAATGCACCGGCGGGAGCCGCGATGCCGTTGTGTGTGTGTGACTGGTGTCCTCGATCTTAGTCGGGAACAGTTGTATGCTGCGGTATAGTCAACACACTAAGCAGAATAATTATTGAAAAGCAGCTGACATCTGTCTTGGTCTCTATCCACCTTGGGAAGAGTTACAAAGTGACCTAGGCCTCGTGCTTCGTGAGTGCGCCCTCCATGGGTAGGGACGAACGTTGCAGCAATTCCTACTGCGAAGCAGAATAGTTAGTGAAAAGCAGCTAGCCTCCTCTGACTTCAAGCCAACTCCACATGAAAGCACACCAAATTCACGCTTCGGNGTGAAAAGCAGCTAGCCTCCTCTGACTTCAAGCCAACTCCACATGAAAGCACACCAAATTCACGCTTCGGAACATGCACCAACGAACCGGGTCACAGGCAAAACAGTTCCTCGGCTCTACTTAGCCAGCAAGCGTACGAATATGGGTTCATCATACCTGTGAGTAGCTCTGTTAGAAGAGGCGTCGTCTGTCCTAACAGAGCTATTCCTGCATCATATGCGGACGGCATTTTACATATATTGGAGCCACATTTGTTACATGTAGTTGCAGATGCATCTTCCTCTTGTTAGTTGTTGTAGCTCCGCAAGGGTTTGAGCATGCGCGTACGTCTGCGGGACGGTGACTTTCATGTTGTAGTTTAGCTTGTTGCAAGCTTCAGGACCTTGCTGTATAATACAGTACATGCAAAAATGCAGCTATAGTCGCGCTGATTACTGCAGACAGTTTTGCTGCAGCCTTTCCCGTGCTTGCACAGCACTTGTTCAAGAGGCGTTGAATATTCTCTGGGGCCGTTGACGACGAATTTAACGCACTTCTGTGAGCGTGCGTTGATCTGGTTCTTCAAGGACGTCACTGCATTGAACTCATTTCTGGAGCGTTGCCCGTCCGTTGCGGCAGATGCAGGCAGCGGATACGGTTCATCTTGATTCAGTTGTATTTGGACCTTATTCTCTAAGGATCGCATTCGTTCTTTTCTACAGCTCGCTACGCCTTCTAATATGTCCTATGTAAGCAGTAAAACCTGAATGGCTCCTGTTCTCTGAGGGCCTTCACCTCAGAACACGCTGACAACGCGAGTACCCCAGAACCCTGAACTTCACCTTCGCATTGTTTAAAACAAATTCGGCTCTCACTAAACCGATATGATTCGTAGGTCGTGCCTACGGCTGGATAGAGAGCTTTTTCTTCTTCTTGAATTTACCATCCGGTGCAGCCTTCCGCTTAGGGGGAAGAACAGAGGTGCCAGCCTGCTGCTCCCTGTCGAGGCGCCCAGCTTTTCGGCTACTGTGTGCCCCTGTGCTTGACGAAGAAGCAGTTGAACTGTCGCTGTCGCTGTCTCCGTCGTTCCCTCTTTCCAGCTCTGAACTGCTTGCGTCCGATTCGCTGCCGCTACTCTCGCTTGCTGCTTTCTTCCTTTTTAATGCGCGTCGCCTTACTCCGCCAGCCGCCTCCCCCGCTCCAGCTAGAAGACATGTGAGCTTCTGCTTGAGAAATACCTGCATCACGTGACACGCACCCACTTATGGGATTTGTGCTGCTTTTGCTGCGGCAGCTGGATCAGTATGCTTGCAAGACACGAAACAGCAATCTCACCTTTTCGCACAGCTTGCGCGACTTCGCATTGAATACGTAGGCGTAACGACCCAATCCCACAGCAATAAGGTGTTCCCCAGCAGGATCTAGTCCTAGGCCTGCAGCACAGAAACAGGGGAAATATACACGCTGGAATTTCCGCAGAACGCTTACGCGCCAGAGCCCCATGTCTAAACAGCAACAGGGGATGTAAGTAATCCGCACCGACGATTGCTCCCATGACTCCTTTAAACCCTCCGAAAGGAACAGCGGCAAGCTGCAAATCCGCGCATGCAGCGGTGGAAACTGGGTGATCGTTCTTCTTCGACGAACGCCTTTCTCTTTGCTTATCCAGCATCGCAGCGATAAGCTTTCTCTTTACTTCGGGTGGATGATCTACCTGCGGGATATCATCGAGCGAGCGGTAAGATGAAGGGTTGTACTTAGGACAAGTCTTATCAGCCAGACGCAGCAAGGCAGAGCCGCTCTGCACTTGTATGCCGTAGACCATCCCATACGAGTCCGCATAGTAGACGGTGGCAGAGTCTTTGCNCCGCTCTGCACTTGTATGCCGTAGACCATCCCATACGAGTCCGCATAGTAGACGGTGGCAGAGTCTTTGCCGCTGCAAGATGCCAGCAATTCATGAGCTGCTTTGGCTGCTGCAGTGCCTTCGCAGCTGTCATGATTGAGACCTCCAGGAGAGTTTTTTTTCTTGGACAAAAGGCCATCGTCGTCTGCAATTTTGGCAGATGCCTGGCTCGTCTTGGGTTCGCAGCTGGTGCAAGAAGCTGCAGCCTCTGCCGCGCGAGCCAGTGCTGTCCGGATGCCCATCTTGCTCTGCAACACCTCATCTGTAGGGCGGACGCACAGGGCAGTGACGGGCCGCTTCTCCTGCGTAGCCTCGCAAAGTTCTAGCACAGGCCGGCGTTGGCAGCGTAAGTCATAGAAACGCATCGCTCCCTTTGCCGTGCCCACGCCCAGCACCATGGGGTGTATTGGTAGCAGCCAGTCTATCTGAGTCACCGCTACATCACACCGTAGCCCAAGGAAACTAGGCTTCACATTCTTTGCGCACCAAATGGTCTTTCCATAGTCAAGATCCACAACCTTCGCGTCGTTTTCCTTTCCGCCGAAGGCCAGTAGACTATGGCAAAAGGGATGGCTGCTGGCNCCACAACCTTCGCGTCGTTTTCCTTTCCGCCGAAGGCCAGTAGACTATGGCAAAAGGGATGGCTGCTGGCGGCAGCTATGGGGGCTGGAAGCAGGTACGCAGCTCTACAGCAAAACGAGTTGCTTTTGGTCGCTGTCTGCACAGCGCAAGGCTCAGCATTGGGATTCTTCTCTATGGGAAGAAACTGCACTGTCACGTCCTCTATCTCCCCATCAACGGCCTCCTCAAGAGATGCGGCAGCTTCTCCTGGATCACTTGGCGTCTCGAGAAGACGTGTGTGGAAACATTCTTCCCACTCCACCACGCAGGCATGACCCTTTTGGCCAATGGCAAGCAACAACCTGCTGGAACTTGTGCTGCAGGCTGAGTCCTCTGCTGCATCGGCTTCAGCTTCTGTGGGTGATGGCAGCAGGGCATCGCGCAGCGATGCTTCGCCCGGTGTTACACCGCTCGCCAGCCATGATTTGCAAAGCAGCGAACGCGTGTAGGCGCGTGATTTCGCTGATCCAATTAGTGAAAGAGCTACAGGTGCTGACGGCAGCTGGAAGGATCGCAAAGGCAGCTGAAGGGAACCCACTCCCGCAATAGATGCAGCATCAAGAGGGGCCTCACAAACGACATTAGATGTTGCGAACGCCTCCACGGATCCGCATGCACGGCCAACTGCAATCTCCGAAGCCTCTCTTCCGCTGTGCAAACATACACAGTTCAGTTCACTCAACGGGGTTCGACTCTTTATCTGTGCTTGTGATTATTTCGTCAATCTTCTACTGCGGAGTGAAGCAGTACTAGGGCACTGAGGTCATTGTACACTGAAATTCAATACAAACGTGCAAGGTTCGCCTCACCCTAACAACAGACGGGAAAGCTAGAGTGTTGCTAGTATGCGTCATAAACTGAATGCAAAGCTTTCTTCTGTTTACAGACTTACCCTGAAGCTCCTGCCCAACAGAGGGAAGTGACAGCCAAAGAACGGTTCTGCTTGGCCCTCTTTATAATGCGTGTACGCCGGGTATCGGCGGACAGCCAAGAGAGCTCCTTGCACAGGCCCGAGTGATCCCCCACGACGAATTCCATCCCCATAAGGTCCTTGTCCACCACGAAAGGAGCCACCACCCTTTTCAACTCAACCAAAGTTTTTCCACTGGAGAGAAATCCACTGCGGATATCTATCCCTTCTCCTATACAGCGAGGGTGGGCTTGGGGCTACTGCAGCCCATAGTCAAAAGACCCTTGAAGCGATACAGGTAGAACACTCAAATGACCAGGAAATCCTATGCTTTTAAATAATTTATACAAAAGGCAAATAAAAAATCAACCTTCGTAATGATGGATTATCGAGATCATGTGAATATACGAGGGGCCCATAGGGAACGGCCCCACAAGCCACCGTCATTGCAGTGGATCCTCACTCAGTAGAAAACGGCTCCGCTTAACATTAAACATAGTTGTTATTCAGACAATTCACCTTATAAATAGAGAATATGAACCACTTATTCTGGTGCAGGCTCGATCAAAGCAGCTTCTCTCGAGTCCAGGTGAACCATGCAACGCTACACACACAGGAGCCTTGCTAGCTGTTTGAAACAACATTTCAAAATAGGCATACTGAAACTGTGCTGCTGAACAGTGAAGGGTCAATAATTCAACAGGTCGATCGGTACAGCATGAGTTATAGGCAGCAACTGCAACTTCACCTGATGCGCGACTCCTCGTTGCTGCGTGCAAGTTCACGTGCCTATGCTTTATAGATTTATTATAAGTTAGCCTGTGACCAACTGATGCATTTGGGGGGAGAGATTGCAGTGCATAGGTACCTCCTCTTCATGCTACCGTAATAGAAGTCGCTGCAGCAGACAAGCCGGCCACCTCTCGCTTGCCTTTCCGGAGGCGTGAGGCCTCTGTGGGCTAAGTACAATGATGTAAATGCTGTGNGCCACCTCTCGCTTGCCTTTCCGGAGGCGTGAGGCCTCTGTGGGCTAAGTACAATGATGTAAATGCTGTGAACCACACAGAAATGAGTTTGGCGCAGGCACTCGCCTCGTTCTTTCCGTCGGCAGTAAAGCATTTGTTACGAGCCGTGTGACGATAGACGCCCTCGCTCGATGATCCTAGGCTACGCCCTCCGTCGTAGCCTAGGATCATCAGCAGAAGTGATAGACTCCAAACGCACAAGCGAAGAGATCCTAAACAGCAGCTGACCTCCGCTAGAGCCTAAAAGCATCCAGGGTATTGCGTGGCTAGAAGGTGCACTCCTAATCGCCCGCAGGCCTGCATTTCTAGGCAAGTAAATATTTAAAAACGGTTTATAGTGTTAACGTAAATAGCAAAGGGAGCCTAGTAATGCTTGCATCCGTGCTGCCTTTCAGCGCTAGTTGCAGCAATGTACGTTGCAACCGCAACCTTCACGAACCATCCCCAAGCAGTTGCATCGCAGTGAAACGGAAGCTAAGAAGCTAGAAGGGGGACCAGCTGCTTACTTTCGTCCCCCTGCTACTGCTCTGAGCAGGTCTCACGATAGGCTGAGATCAGCAGCAACGCTGATGAACCTGAGGCACCTGCAAGCGTAGCGAGGTGTCAGCACGATGGCTGTGGCCCACACACAAAATGTAGCTTGCAGCCCTCGAGTGGAAACCCGCCACCGAGATAGCCCTGCGTTCAGCAGGCTTGCNCACAAAATGTAGCTTGCAGCCCTCGAGTGGAAACCCGCCACCGAGATAGCCCTGCGTTCAGCAGGCTTGCGAAATCGAATCAGGCGATACATTGAGCCGCAAAAGCCTCAACTTGAACAGTGCTAGAAGGGAACGGCTAGCAACGCGGATGGACTAGTGTCATGCCAGTGAATGCCCTCAGAGTCGGATTGATGACAATGCATTGAAGGGGAAAGGCCCCTCCTCATGAAGGACGCTATTTATCATCCAAGGAAAAGTTTCTCTAACACGAACACCATGCCACTGAAGAAGACCCAACGCAGAAACCCATCTAATCTACAGATGCACACAGACGATCAGCAACTGAACAGCAGTTGGGAGCTCCGAATGGAGCGAATGTGCATATAAGCTGTACTCGCAACCCTCATCCGTGAGAGCCTGCGCCACCACGGCCAACCTCACAGAAATGCAGCCTTGTGCCCAGCGATTCAAGGCAACAACGCCACAGGCCGCGATCTCGGTCTCCTTCCCCTGCAAAACCACATCCCCACCA